GAGAGAGAGAGAGAGAGTGTGTGTGTGTGTGTAAGAGAGACTTGAGTATGTTTCATACCTTATGAAAATGATACTATTGAGAGAGAATGGTTGAATATTCAAGAGAGTGAAGAGATGATGGTTAGGTAAAAGATTTACAGCTTGATATAGCCTAATTCAACATGCAGTATTGCTTAAAACATTGATTAGACTGAGAAGAATGTAAATTGTTATAAGTTGAACTTCAAATTATTTTCTTCCTGGTAGACACAAATCTTTGGTAGCATTAAGTTTTATGATGATTGTGTATCTGCCTGGTATGTCAAAGTCAGATAAGTTTCATTTGAATACATGCTATCTTTTAATCTAATTCACTTATTTGTCTCCTAAAGTCTGCATGAGGTGCTATTAATTTAGAGTCAAGAATTTTAATTAAAGTGTCGAAAAAAACTTCACCTTTAAGAAGGAATTTAATAAAAATCATTAATCTTTGAGGTGTGAAAGAGTAAAACGGAATCTAGGGGACTAGAAAAGAGAAATGTAATCCCACATTACTTATTAAGAAAATTCAGTCTTTATGTCATTTTATATCATCTCAGAGAATGTCATCCCATACATGACGTATCACTCTACTACTGAGGTAATCTTATTGTCTAGACGAATGTGCACATGGAAGGAAGAACATGTTTTTATGTCTGTATTGCGCTGTGATGTCTTTACAGTGTTATCTCGATCTGAGATTGTGAAGGGTTGTTTAGTTTGAGAGTACCATCATGTAATATAAAGGATCAGACCAGGCTCAATCTAATAGCCGTGCAGCCCTGGCCTTGGCCTTAATGCTTTAAGCTTCACTGTCCTGTTCTGTAAAATAGAAAGAGTAGTGCCTATTACAGAGGCTGTGAGGTTTTTTTGCATAACGTGTGTACAATCCCTTAACACAATCTGGGAGCTGTATTAAAAGGCTGGTGAATGTTAGTTCAGCTCATTTTGCTTTCTGTCAACAACAGTAAGAGCAAAATAATAATAAAAGTTTGTGTTGCATAGTCATATACTGTCTTTTAAATTAAGTGGTTAATTGTAAACCATATGATTGGTGAAAATCATACTATTTCCCCTCAATAGTATGCTGGAATATAATATGTGTGTGTGTGTGTGTGTGTGTGTGTGTGTGTGTGTGTGTGTGTGTGTTTAAATAAGAGTCTTTCACTGAGAGGATTCTAAGGCACCTTCTGTTCAAAATGATCAGAGATACTATTTATTGATTTCTTAACTTTGTGAAGGACCGAGCGAAGTCCTTTGTGTATGTATTTTTCTCATTTAAAACTCATAACAACCTTTTGAGGACTATCCCTCTACCAAGGACACTTACAAAGTAAGTGATAGAGCTAAGATGAAAACCTAGGGTTGCCCAACACTTAACCGCTATGGTATAATGTCCCCTTGCAGAAGTGCAAGAATTGAGTGATTCTGGGTGCTAGAGATAAAGGTTATGTATGTCTTAGGGGTTAAATATGAGTCGGGGTGGAGCCTCATTTTCTATGCGGATTCATTTCCATTCATGGTCAGTCTTGTCTCCCTCCCTTCTTGTTAGGTGACAGAGGGAAAACAGGACCTGGAGAGAGCGTCCCAGCTGGCCCGGAAAATGAAGAAAGAGGCTGCTTCTCTCTCTGAATGGCTTTCTGTTACTGAAGCTGAATTGGTACAGAAATCCACTTCAGAAGGATTGCTTGGTGACCTGGATACAGAAATTTCCTGGGCTAAAGTAAGTTATAGTTCAGGTGAACCACCAATATTATGCCACTGTGACCTGTGGCATTTCGGTCAGGGCAGTCTGGGTGGATGTCATTTCTCTCCATTTCATATGATATATATATATATATATATATATATATATATATATATATAT